ACCAAAATTCACAAAATACCTCCGGTTAAATTACGTACATAAAATTAATACGCATATTATATCACATTGTTTTTGTCAACACAGTTTACTTTAAGATAGCGCGGAGGCTAAAAATTATTATTTTATGTAATGAACTTTGACAGACTTAGACAGATTTTTTTTTTTTTTACTTTTACTGTTATTATTTATCGGTGACGCGCTCAGTTTATATAGCACAGGTAAGTACAAGCGTTTATTTAATCGACAAACTATTTTTGAGGCCGAATATGATATTCGTTCCAGCTATCAACACCGTGCGTAGAGAGTTTAATAAGACATAAACCCAAAGTAGGTGTTCGGCCGAGTGATGCTATGTCATCAGGAGAAATGCATACACTGAAACTTCCGCAACTGTTTTAAAAATAATTTTTTTGCATCGAACTCTTACCGAAAGCTGATGAAAAATAAGAATTATCATAAAATATCATAATTGCCCTGCTAAAAATTATATCGTTTTCAATCAACGCGTCAACACTTACGTCTATCGTTGAATTAAATATATTGAAAGCTGTAAATAATAAGTGACAAGTGTAACCTAGTGACCGACTGAAAAAAAATCAGACTTACCATGTACAAATAAGTTAAGAGCGTTTAATATTGATTTCGAATTTGTTTTTATGAGAATGAAATTTGATTGCTCAACGCGACAGAAGTTTTTACGGGTTTCATTAAAAATATAACTTTCAATTCGAACGCCTGATATTCCAAGTACCGTTGTAATAATATAATATCTACGACTGCGTGTAAAATAAAAACAAGTAAAACACTATAATCGTCATGAAAACGATGTTTTTTGCGTCGATTAGCGAGCGGGGGATTACCTGAAAGATATATAAAAAGGACGCTTTCGAATTCGAGAAAAAATATCGTACTCCGGGCGTACAACTGTCCCGTGACGGCTTTGCTGTAATTGGAACGTAAAACGAATTATTTACGATTCTTAGACTCAACTTCAGTTCACTATCACAAGTGCGTACCGAACCGTTTGACATTAGTGTTATTTCGTTTTTAACGCAACAAAAATGTTTGTGCAGGAAACCTGTTGTTGTTTGTGATGCCGTTATACTTATATAATAAAATATATGTTCAATATAAAATCTTTACTTGACGTTTTAGAGTAGCTAAAATGTATATTTGAAATCATCTCTCTTGACAAACGCATGCCCTTCGTAATAGTTATTATCATGATGGCGCAGCGAACGACTTATAAATCAGTCGTTAAGTAAATATGTATATATTTATATACATAAATATATTATGTAAAGAGCACTGAAGTAACTAATTTATTATAATAAAAACATTATAAAAACTACATAACGATCAACGAAATTTAAGCGCAAAGTTTCGAATAAATAAACAATTATTTAATAACCAACATGAGTAATTCTTTCTCTTTTTCCTCTTTTTTCTTTCTTTTTTCGCCCAAAGAAATTTATTACAATGCGAATAGTATTAAACATTATTGGTTTATCTATCACGTAGCTCTGTATCGGTGAATCTCGTGTCAGATGACTCAAACGGTACTTGCGATTAATAATTACATATAGGCATTTTTACAATACCCGCTCTTTATCTAGTTAAAACCGTTTCCTGTGAAAAATAATATCTTCGGTTTATCGTTTATGAGACTTAATGCTCAATTCTAATAAAATTAATTCAAATTAATGCCATGATAATATTACAGATTTAAATTAAAAACCAATTAAGAAAAAAAAAGAAAAAGAACATTATCATTTTTCGTTTAAAGCAGAATCTAAAATTATATTCAATGCGTGTTATATTCATTCCATATTGTACTCGGAATTTACTATTTCTCAGTTTACGAATTGTGTATTAAAGTATGAGATTCAATAGTAGATTTCCAATGATTAATACTGATTATTTATTATGAAGTGGGTATTTTCTCTTTTTTTCTTCTCGTAAACAATTTTTTTTTTGAACGGAAAAGAAAAAATACAATAAAAGTTTCTTTCACTATCTTTCACTAACTGTCTCATTAGATTGAAAGCGAACCAAAGAAAAAACTATGAAGTGGTCATTTTTCGATTTCGTTAATAGTCTTTCCGATCCTAAAAACTTAAAATATTTTTCTCCGCTCGCGATAATTTTCATCATACATTTATTTTAATTATCCAAACACTCTGAATGCAAAATAATATCCGTCACTACATTAAATAAGCATTAATTAACAACATTTCAAATTTCACAGATTTTCTTTCAAACGCTATGTAATATCCATTAAAGGAGTTCTAGCCTCGAACTCGAAAGCGTGTATTTATTTATTTTTTTTTTGTTTTTACTTTGATACGATTCTGCAACACTTTACAGATCCCAAGTGTGAACTTTCCAAGTAATTCATTGTATCCTAAATACTATTTGTTGATAAAACCCGTGTTTAAATATAATTTCAGCCAGTGCTGTTGATACTAAGTTTTGTAGTATTTTTCGACACATGGTGATTTCGATAGTGACAGATTTGAAGTACATATCTATTTATGTTTAATAATATGATACTTTATCTTAACATTATTCTAAAAGTAGACTAAATTTGTATTGAAATTATATAAATCGTATTGGAGATATTTATAATTCAGAAAATGTAACTTATGCCAAATGGTTTATTATTATATATTTCGTTTTTTTAATAAATATAAACACGTACAGAAAATGTGTGTTATTTTTTTTAGAAATATTTTTTGTCGGTACTCAAGAAATAATACATGAAAAAAGTTAAAATTTAAAATGATTAAGTAATTCTTTCAGGAGGCAATATAAATTGATCAAATAGAGACACTACGATTTCTCTACTCGAATTAAATATCGTCTTATAATACACATTTAATACGAAAATGTTGCTTATTCTTTATGAATATTCTGTTCTGTAAACATGTTAAACATAATTCTCTGTTGACGTTGTGTATATTGTCTAACAACTATAACGTTTACTCTTTAATAATTTATATATATTGTATTGAATAGCAATGTATTAACGACCATAATTATTGATAAAATATGATTAGCACGTTTGTATCTTTTATCTACACAACTAAGCATATTCTGCGTACAAAAAATTAACTCTGTCTAATAAACATCAATATTGACTGCGATTTTTTGTCTGATATTGCCATTTTTTTAAATTTAATAATGTATTACATCATTCAATAATTTACTATAAAAAAAGAAAAATCATACCCATATTTATTATAATTAATGATAATTATGGATTTTCTATTTTTTTGTTTTGTAGTCTGAGTTGATTGAATAAAATAAACAACTATATAAAACCATAAAGAGTTTGAAAATATTGATGAAAATACTCCCTGATTTTATAATAATGAAAACATTTGTGATGTTGTAGTATAAAATATTCTTAAAAAAGGAAGTTGGAAGAAGAAAAAAAAAAGAAGAATACCATATGATCCACCAGTTACAGCTAGAGAGGCTAAATAATGTATTGATTCGTTGTAGAAGTTTTTCGTGCAAAAGGGTAACGAAAATAGTCCATCTGATAAGTATGAAAAGTGTGCCCATTTTGTCAACCAGATTCACACTAAAAAGCTTTTTTTTTTTGTGTGACCGGGGACCAGGAGGGAACTTTGTTGGCAATACTTCCTCCTGGCTCCCATCGTTTATTTGTGAAAAAATTAATTACAGCAATTTTATTACAACAAAGCAAATGGCTCTACCCCTCCTACTTTGGCCATGTTGGCCTACAACAAATGTCTTAACTAAAGGGTTTCTTCGTGTTCGTATGTAGTTACTGTAGCGTTTTCGCGACCCGGTGTACAGGACCAGTCGGTCTGGAGTCTCGTTCGTCTGGGTCATTCCACCGCCACTACTCGATGATGTTGGATCTTCCTCTCCTCCTCCTCTCAGCACTTCATTATTCTCGTTAGGAGTTGTTCGAGTCTCGTCCAGGTTTCCTTGTTTCTCAGCATGGTGTTTACTAAGTTTTCAGGTGTCAAGATGTCCACTTTAAGATACATACATGCTTCCCTGCGCCAGTGATGCCACGCGTCGCATGAAAATATGGCGTGTTCGGCATTGTCCGGGCTTACCCCACATTGTGTGCACTCATCTGTTTCTCATATACCGTACTTCTGGAGGTATTGATTGAAGCACTCGTGGCCGGTCAGTACCTGACACAGGTAAAATGTTACCTCTTCATGTTTTCCATGTTTTCCGAACCATGGTGCAATGTCGCTTATGAAACGGAACGTTCATCTTTCTTTTTGGAAGGCTGTCCATTTTCGTTGCCAGCTGCTGATCGTTTGGTCCCTGGTTATTTTCTTCTCCGTGCCGGCATATTGTTTGGTTCTCTCCTCAGCCATCAGCGTGAAGGGAGACATGCTAGACGATACTGCTGCTGCGTCCGTGGATGTCGTACGGTAGCAGTATGCTACTCTAAGCATTATCCTTCTGTATGCCATTTCCATGGTGCTAAGAGCTTTAGCTGTAATGATCCCCTGCCATATTGGTGCTCCGTACCGTAGTCTCGAAGTTACCATGGTTGCGAGTATGCGTTTCGTTTTTTTCTTGCGCCTCTAAGGTTCGGTAGAATCTGGGTTAGGTGCCTACTTGCTTAAGCAGCGCATTTTGCCACTATCGTGACGTGTTGTGCAAAGTGCATTTTTTGGTCGAAATGTAGCCCTATGTATTTGACGTACTTACTTGAGGCGAACGAGTGTGGAGGAAATTCAACAGTCATAGTATTCCTCTTATATCTATTAGTAAAAATGATTGCCTCCGTATTTTCCATTGCCAGCTCCAAGTTGTTTTGTCTCATCTACAGCACAACGTCGCGTAGCGCACTGAGTAAACTCTCCTTCAGTTAGAAGAGCATTTTCGCAGATGTTATAATGGCCACATCGTCAGCGTAGGCTATCATCTCGGTGTCTGTAGGGAGTGGTAAATTCAATAGGTCGTCGTACAACAAGTTCCAGAGGTCTGGTCCGAAAACCCTAACCCTGGGGAACTCCGCAGTTCATATATATTCCACACGTGGAACCGACTTCTTTAGTGAACGTGATTCGTCTATTTGACATATACTGGCTGAGGATGATCCGCAGGTAATTCGGTGCCTCGATTCTTTCCAGGCGTTGCAGAATTGTTTCCCAAGGGACGCTGTTGAAAGTATTTTTTATGTTCAGCGTGAGCATTCCCACAAATTCATTTCGTGCATGGCCTCGACCGTTGGCATTACGCACTATGGTCAGTAGTCTGGACATTGCATCAACTGTTGATTTTCCCGATTTGAATCCGTATTGATTGTTTGCTTGCACACCTGCTCTTTTAAGATGCTCTCGTAGTCTGCGGGTGATTGGATTCTCAAAAAGCTTGCTTGAGTCTATCATATATAATGGTCGGTAAGCTGACGAAAGTTTTTCATGCAAGAGGGTAACGAAGATAGTCCATCTGATAAGTATGAAAAGTGTGTCCATTTTGTCAACCAGATTCACACTAAACAGCTTAGACAACGAACAATTACAACGTTTTGTACATCTTCCACGTCAAAATAGTAATTTTATTTGTGTTATTTATGTAAACATTTTTTTTTTTTTTTTTTTTTTTTTATTTAATTTAATATCTTCTTTTCAATTAAGTGGTTCACGTGTTTAAAATAAAAACTTTCTTTTATATAAATATTTGTATTTTGAACTAATTTCGGTTATTATTGGCAATCACTTAATGTGGGTAAATGGAGCTTGCACCAACGTGCCTAAATGAATTGGAATCCACTATATATAATTTTTAAAAATTGTACGTCACAATATATAATTCTTTAGTCTAGTGTTTTTCAACTTTTTCGACCCACGATCCACTCTTCTTACCATTCATTTTTCGCTCGCAGCCCATGTAAACTTCGTTATCCATGAAAACCAAAAAAAAGTTAAAATTCCTTAATGTATGCCAGAGGTTATATAACTGAATAAATTAAAACTTATATTTTTATAAATACCTAGATAATATTTAATTTTAAAAAACCGAATAACAACTTTTTTCGCTAACACCTTCCCTGTGTGTTAAATTGTATTTTTTGATTTGCATAAAATTGTTAATCATGAACAGTACTGAAAACTGAGGATTTACCTATACTAGAAAAAACAGGACGAAATACAACTTGTAAATATTTCGTCAGAAAAACTGGATACAAAGTCAAAATTCGGAATGCTTGGCTATTCTATTCTACAACCTATAGGATTTCGGTCAAGTTATAACCACAAACTACTGGTTGCGAACGTATCAATCCATTATATAATGATCAACTGTCCAAAATTCTCAGAATCATGCAGGATCCTCAACAACCCTTCTTTACATCATTAAACTCTCAACGGAGACTACACCAAAGCCGTTTTTACTTTTTTTCTCAAAATTTAAGTAGGTTAATTATTATTGTTGTTGAAGCTTAACATTCAATACAAAAATTTAAAAACATACAAAAATAAGGTTTAATAGAAAATACTCAGATGTAAGAAATTGTTCAACGATATGCCCTGCTGAAATGTAAAATGATCAAAGTGCAAAAAATAGTTAAAACACAAACATTATGATTTTCATTTAATATTTAATACATAAATATTTGAAAAAAATGAAATTATAATAATAGTTGGTTAATAGTATATTTTTTAATTTAAAATTATAAAAGTGTTAAAAAATATTGTGAGTATTAGTGATCATATTTGGCCATGATACGTACAACACAATTGAGCTACTTCAATATTTTCAAATTTCTAAAACATTACCAAACATTTTTCTTAACATTGAATAAAAATATAAACGGTAAAATTATAATTTTATGATTTATTTTCTTAATATTTACACAAAAGTATTATAAGAATATCGAAATTTTATGTAATACTTAATTGTATATCGTGTAATGTATTTTTAATATACAACTATTTTATACTCTTAACAAACATTATATTTCCGTCGAATTATAGATAAGAATTTTCCCATTTATGAGTGATTTTCACTAACGTATATTTTTATAAGTTTATAATTAAATAATAAACATTGAACATATTAATGTATTTAATTTTTATAAAAATATACAAATATTAATTGAAAATTACAACAAAGATGACCAATAATAAATAATAAAAACTTTTGCGTCAGTATCGATAACTATACTGTTTCAATTGTATGTTGAGCTATTTTTTTTTTTGCATTCGCATTTTAAATAACATAAAAGTGTAAATGTGTGAAAAAAAAATATAAAATTAACTTCAAATTATTATATTCCCAAAAGGGATATATATGTTTTGACGGCTTCAATACATTTGAATAAACATGTTGCAGAGGACAAAATTCCATACTTCATTATAATTTATTTTATATTAATATAAATATATAAATAGTTTTGTTTTTATGAAGTAAGTTATGTTGTACATATTACTTAAAAAACACAATTTCCATGAAAATGTTTTGTTATTTTCTAAAAATAATAATATGGAGATACCATGGTAAACCCATTAATCAGTCATGGTAGAAAATGCGAACGTATAATTTTTTCTTACGATAAATGCATTCGTTCACTCGTAAACAGGACTCTCCGACGTGAGCTATGTAAACCTGCTAACTGTGTAATTGATCACACTACGTTTTTATCGACTGCACGTTATTATTTTACACGCAACGCCAATTCTCTCGAGACCTCTCTGGTTAAAAGACCTCTCGTCTTCTTCTAGAAAACTGCTTATTTCAATCTTTTACAATCTATTAACACAACCACGCACACCCCGGTCAAATGGTCTACCCGATCAGTGTGAGTGTATAAAATGCCTTTCACGCGGGAATTAATATGTCCGAATTATTTTTCAATTTTATTTTCTCCTGTACAATACAGCAATATAGCACGCAATAAAGCGTCAACTATGAACAAAAGTCGTTTGAAATATAAATTTTATTTTCAAAAAACCATTAAAATTTGTATTTTTTTTAATTAATCCGAATTAATAAAATAATAATATTATGCAAGAACCTGGCTTTAAGTTCACGAATCGGCTTAAAAACTTCGTAAAATTCGGCGTCTAAAATGGGATTCTTATAACTCACCTGTAAAAAAGTATCAGTGCATTATCTTGCGAATTTTATCAACAGAAAAATCATGTATACATCTTTGTAAAGATTTACAGTTAATGTTTCCAACAAAGTCAGAATACCGTTTTGTTGCAATTATTGTCAGTAGATATTTTAAACACACATCATGTTTATCTTGTTTTTTTTTTCTCATACACTTCTCGACAAGTTTTAAATATTCTATCAAAATCAAAATCACAACTAAACAAAAAATACTATCTAGATTTTAATTTATTCGATACAAATCAATTACCCGTCTAAAAAAATCTCTAATATATTACGAGTACATTCAAAAATATTATGAGTTTGATTTTATAATTAATTTTAAATTTATTACTCATGATGTTTAATAATAAATCATGTGTTCCAAGCACCTAATTTTCTACTTCTAAATAATAATTTTCTAGTGGTTTTATGTGTAGTATAATTGATTATTTAATAATACATTTATAATGTATAAATAATTTATTATACATAATTTATAAGAATAATATTTCATAAAACGATTTATATGACTATTTAGTGTAAGCATATTTTTTAGAAATATATTGAGTGAATTATAAATTCGTTATATTAGTTATTTAATCTAAATACTGTAATTTATGTGTAAACTGTTGAAAATGTTAAGTTAAATCGCATTTATGTACTGGATGTTATATTACGCTAACATGAAACAATTATGCAACAACGCATCGAAGTGTAGTTAATTATATTTGCTCGTATTTCACAACTAAATGATTTATTTTACGTTCTCGTTTAACATATTTCTTCATACTAAATTCAACCAGTAAAAATAACTTATTTGTCTTACATTTATTCCGAAATAATAAAGTTATAATTTCATTTCGCATCTGGATGTAATATTAAGATAAATGATTCTGAACTGGAATTCTTATTCATCTCGTATTATAAAATGCATCTTGTCAGAAAGTTCCGAAACCCACGCAGATACTCACATTTCAGCAAGTCAGAGTCGTTATAATATTGTACGTTTTCAATAAGATAATACAATGAGACGAATTTATTTCCAATGTGTATTTAAAGCATCGGGTTTTGATGATATCGTACGGCAATAGCGTACGTGACTAATACGAACGATATTTCTTAGATATATAAATGTTTGCAAGCTGTAAACTCAGTGCAAAATATCCTTTGTGATTTGTTCCTACCTAGAAACACAATAATTAAACAGGTTATTTACAGATTATAGCGATTTGCAGTTAAAATTGCATTGGAAGTTTAACATGATACTAGATACAGTGATTTGGAGTTTTTTTTTCCGATACTTCCTCAGTTTTCAAAAAGTACAATTTTTTTCGTTGAATGATGAATTAAAAAAAAAGTCACACTATTTATTAAATAATATACCGTTCAAATAATCATAATCATTTATTAACACACATTGAACCTTAATTAATGATATTTTATAGTATTTTTCTCTTGTTTCAAAATAAGTTAATTTGAATATTCTATACTGATTTATTTCGTTTACAAATTGTACAAAAATCGGAATTTACAATGTTTGTCAAGTCTCAAAATATTTTTCTAATTGTATGACAATATCCAAACAAATCTTAGTAAAATTAATTAGTGTTACAGTATGCATATATTTCAAAAAAGTAAAAATAAATATTGCATAAAGAGTCAGATATTAGTTTAACGTCACGAAAAACATTAAATTAAATTATAAAAAAAAAAAAAAACAATAATTTTAGTAAAAAATATACCTTTATTAATAAGTAATAAATAGGAAATAAATAGGACTAAAGTCAATTTTTTTTTGTTTATATCAATCGGACGCTATAGGAGAAAAAAAGAATAATTCCTAGTACAGTATTGTTCTACCTAAAAAAAAATCCCTTCAGTGAACTGAAAAACGAATCGCAATGCAAATGTCAATTTCTCACTGCATTGCATATAATAAGTACGCAATTCAACAATTTAAGCATCCACTCAAACTAGACCAGTAGCCTTTCATACAGTATTTATATTTAGAAAATATTCGCACTTACAAAAAATATCAAACCACATACAGATACAGAGACAGGGTGAATAAAACGTATTTAAGAAAATGTAATTTTAAAGTGAAATAAATTTATTATAAATCTCATTTAAAAATCAGGTTGACTAAACGAAATGGTTTAAAAAGTTACTTATTATAAGAGGGAAAAAAACTTAAGTTCTACTTCTATAAAAAAATACTTATAATTTCATTAAAAAATTAATAAAATTATTATCAAACCAGGGTAAAAATGATCTCTCTTGACATTAAAAATATATATACATCAATTCCTGAATACGAAACAGTAAATATTGTAAAAAATAAACTTATATACAGTAATAAATCCAATAAAAATTAAAT